TGTGGGCACAGCAGTACACTGACACTGTCATGCATGACGCGGTGGCCCGTGCCTGCTGGTGCACCGGCCGCTGCTGCTACCACTGCGCTCAGGGGTGCAGCTCTCGCAGCACCACGGCAGTCACGTACTATAATATCTACCGATACTTCACTATGAGAAAAATTACCGTTAACGGTATTACCGGCGTTAACGGTATTACCGGCGTTAACGGTATTACCGGCGTTAACGGTATTACCGGCGTTAACGGTATTACCGGCGTTTCAGTGGCCGGTCGGCACGTGAAAAAAAACAACGTGTCGCCGTTTTTATTCTAATTTAACACTAAATATCTGTAAAACATCTGATAAAAACGGCGAAACAGTTTATTTTCACGGGGCGACTGGCCACTAGAACGCCAGTGGGACCGTTTTTTCTAACAGTGTATCTATCTATCTATACAGAACATGTGATGTACTCGGGGCACGTGCTACTATCGTACTCGGGGCAAGTGACGTCCTCTGGGCACGCGCTACTATGGTACTCAGGGCAAGTGACGTCCTCGGGGCACGTGCTACTATCGTACTCGGGGCAAGTGACGTCCTCGGGGCACGTGCTACTATCGTACTCGGGGCACGTGATGTACTCGGGGCACGTGCTACTATCGTACTCGGGGCACATGCTACTACCGTACTCGGGGCACGTGCTACTATCGTACTCGGGACACGTGCTACTATCGTACTCAGGGCACGTGCTACTAACGTACTCGGGGCACGTGCTACTAACGTACTCGGGGCACGTGCTACTATCGTACTCAGGGCACGTGCTACTAACGTACTCGGGGCACGTGCTACTATCGTACTCAGGGCAAGTGATGTCCTCGGGGCACGTGCTACTATCGTACTCGGGGCAAGTGACGTACTCAGGGCACGTGCTACTATCGTACTCGGGGCACGTGCTACTATCGTACTCAGGGCAAGTGATGTCCTCGGGGCACGTGCTACTATCGTACTCGGGGCAAGTGATGTACTCGGGGCACGTGCTACTATCGTACTCGGGGCAAGTGATGTCCTCGGGGCACGCGCTACTATCTGTCTCTTATACACATCTAGATGTGTATAAGAGACAGCTACTATCGTACTCGGGGCAAGTGACGTACTCGGGGCACGTGCTACTATCGTACTCGAGGCAAGTGACGTACTCGGGGCACGTGCTACTATCGTACTCGAGGCAAGTGACGTACTCGGGGCACGTGCTACTATCGTACTCGAGGCAAGTGACGTACTCGGGGCACGTGCTACTAGCGTACTCGGGGCAAGTGACGATCTCGCGCTCGAGTGAGAGGACGATTAGCAGCAAGCAATTCGAGAATTAATTTCTAACTTTTACTTTGAATTTTATTAATTATTGAATATCTTATTATTGAATATTTACTTTGAATTCACTAATCAACACAGTAGGTAGGTCTTGAGCATATAGAAATTAATAAACATTAGTGATGGAAACCCTTGTGTTACGCATGATAGTGTAATTTGTGTGCTAAACACCGTAGAGTTGAGCAGCACGATTTATATTATTAGAAAACGGACAAAGAAAACGTTTAATCACATCACATTTAGATGGGAGTGACTGCAATAAAATACCAGCATCAGATTTCTCTAATAACAGTCTAGCATTAGAATATTTTACCGGTCATCGGAAATTTACGTGGGTTTTACTAAACCTATTTTATTCTTTCGAGCTACCGAGCTATTACAACGATATTTCTTTTTGCTTTAGCCTCAAGGCACAGAAAGCAGAACTTCTGATGTCGCAATCAGGCCGCTCGGTGTCAAGCCTTGGCAAACGAAACTACAACCTACGTACACAGAACAACTGCGTTCACACGGGACAACTGCGTTCACACGGGACAACTGCGTTCACACGGGACAACTGCGTTCACACGGGACAACTGCGTTCACACGGGACAACTGCGNCGTCTCACCACGCACTCGTCTCACCACGCACTCGTCTCACCACGCACTCGTCTCACCACGCACTCGTCTCACCACGCACTCGTCTCACCACGCACTCGTCTCACCACGCACTCGTCTCACCACGCACTCGTCTCACCACGCACTCGTCTCACCACGCACTCGTCTCACCACGCACTCGTCTCACCACGCACTCGTCTCACCACGCACTCGTCTCACCACGCACTCGTCTCACCACGCACTCGTCTCACCACGCACTCGTCTCACCACGCACTCGTCTCACCACGCACTCGTCTCACCACGCACTCGTCTCACCACGCACTCGTCTCACCACGCACTCGTCTCACCACGCACTCGTCTCACCACGCACTCGTCTCACCACGCACTCGTCTCACCACGCACTCGTCTCACCACGCACTCGTCTCACCACGCACTCGTCTCACCACGCACTCGTCTCACCACGCACTCGTCTCACCACGCACTCGTCTCACCACGCACTCGTCTCACCACGCACTCGTCTCACCACGCACTCGTCTCACCACGCACTCGTCTCACCACGCACTCGTCTCACCACGCACTCGTCTCACCACGCACTCGTCTCACCACGCACTCGTCTCACCACGCACTCGTCTCACCACGCACTCGTCTCACCACGCACTCGTCTCACCACGCACTCGTCTCACCACGCACTCGTCTCACCACGCACTCGTCTCACCACGCACTCGTCTCACCACGCACTCGTCTCACCACGCACTCGTCTCACCACGCACTCGTCTCACCACGCACTCGTCTCACCACGCACTCGTCTCACCACGCACTCGTCTCACCACGCACTCGTCTCACCACGCACTCGTCTCACCACGCACTCGTCTCACCACGCACTCGTCTCACCACGCACTCGTCTCACCACGCACTCGTCTCACCACGCACTCGTCTCACCACGCACTCGTCTCACCACGCACTCGTCTCACCACGCACTCGTCTCACCACGCACTCGTCTCACCACGCACTCGTCTCACCACGCACTCGTCTCACCACGCACTCGTCTCACCACGCACTCGTCTCACCACGCACTCGTCTCACCACGCACTCGTCTCACCACGCACTCGTCTCACCACGCACTCGTCTCACCACGCACTCGTCTCACCACGCACTCGTCTCACCACGCACTCGTCTCACCACGCACTCGTCTCACCACGCACTCGTCTCACCACGCACTCGTCTCACCACGCACTCGTCTCACCACGCACTCGTCTCACCACGCACTCGTCTCACCACGCACTCGTCTCACCACGCACTCGTCTCACCACGCACTCGTCTCACCACGCACTCGTCTCACCACGCACTCGTCTCACCACGCACTCGTCTCACCACGCACTCGTCTCACCACGCACTCGTCTCACCACGCACTCGTCTCACCACGCACTCGTCTCACCACGCAATCGTCTCATCACGCACTCGTCTCACCAAGCACTCGTCTCACCACGCAATCGTTTCATCACGCACTCGTCTCACCACGCACTCGTCTCACCACGCATCTGGCTCTATTTAGATATCTGGCTCTAGTTAGACAAGCTCATGCAAGATGCTACTTCTTGCTGATAGCATTGAAGCGCAGACGTGCGTCTATGAGAGATTGTGCTCCAGAACTTCTCGACTACTGCTATGAGTGGACTATGTCCTAACCCCCTAGTAGCAAGGCATCTAACATTCTCGAGTCACAGAAAAGATTCATTATGAAAAAATATTGACCTCTGCGGTAGCTCGGATGTTGGATTGGTACATTCAGAACATTTACTTTTCCCTCTCCCTGTAATATTTTACAATCCAAAATGCCTCACATTAAAAGTTACGGGCCAGTCCGCTTATAATTTCCCATGTGGACAAATTGGCATACCTCGCCAAACCTTTAGCAGTGAACACAGACACAGATGCTTCATCCTCTACCACAAGTTCAGCGTCCTCATCCTACTGATCCTAGACGTGAAGGCTCGCTGGTTCGCTTCCAATTGCCGCACTGCACAAGCCGTGGAGGAGGTCCACAACGAGCAGCAGAATGAGGAAGAGGATCGGGCCAAGTACCGTTCCCTGTGACGCCTAAATTTGTGTGACACCTAAATACGCGAGCTCAAGCATCCTACAATGACAGCTCATAGAGTGTTGATTAGGTATAGTGGTGGATCCACGCCAGTGGCTCTCCTCCGACCAACAGTAGTTTCAATCCAGGAAAAAATTTTGTGGTCAACATTATCAAAGGCGTACGCTAGATCTAAATGCACCACGTGTACACCCACCTCCTCCTTCCTTTTTTCTTAAATATGGTCGTGATAATCCACTGAATGTGACATGCAGGAGCGACTTCGCGGGAAACCGTGTTATGAAAAGAACTCCTTGCAACGGCTTCGTCTAACACCTTGATTACGTGTGATTTTAGGGTCACAGGCCTGGAATTAAGACGCGTGTCTCTCACACCTTCGTTCTGGACTGAAGTTACGGGTCTCACCCTTGAATAAATTAAATATTTTCCTTCTCTCAACGATGATTTCCAGATCAAAGTCAGTGGGACCAATAGTGCCTCCACAAATTTGTACAGCAACTCCATAGGAACTCCACTTGACCCAGGAGAAGAAAAAGCGAAAATAAAGAAAAAAATCCAAGAAAAAGAGTATCCAAGAAACAATATTTCTTAGATACTCGTCTCTAGGTCCACCTCAACCCAAAGCCCCCCTAGCAGTTCTTGAAGGACTTCGCACCTACAGATCTCTGCTCTGCTGCAGGCGCAAGAGTCTTTCTGAATGTTTGAACAAGAACATTTCTCTTCTTCAACTTTCCTCTCAGTATTTCCAGGAGTCATCATTTTAAATTTCAGTACAGAATCTCCTAATTTAAGGGAATCTCCTTATATAACCCCATCATCACACCACAACCCACATCATCACACCACAACCCACATCATCACACCACAACCCACCTCATCACACCACAACCCACCTCATCACACCACAACCCACCTCATCACACCACAACCCACCTCATCACACCACAACCCACCTCATCACAGGCAGCGCAGCGAGGCTTGAGCTTCTCGGCGTAGTGTCTGCCGCAGTGCACGCCGTCCTCCCACACGCAGTACACGAGATCCACGAGCAGCTCGTTGCACGTGTTGCACGTGAAGCACGCGGGGTGCCACGCCACGTAGTCACCCAGACGTGGGGCCACGACCACCACGCTGCCCTCTGGCATCTTCATGCTGCACCCACGACAGTTCTGACGGGGGAGACAGCGGTTTAGAGGGTCTGTCTTAACTGTCATCTTCATGCTGCACCCACGACAGTTCTGACGGGGGATACAGCGGTTTAGAGGGGCTAGTTAGAGGGTCTATCTTAACGAACTGTCAGCATGGCAATGGCAATGCCGTCACGGCAATGGCAATGCGATCATGGCAATGGCAATACCGTCATAAGTAACATAACAACCAAGCTATTAACAACTTCAAGGGCTGTGTGTGAGAACTATGAGCAATTTCAGACAAATTCCCGTCTAATAATATGCTACGATTATATATCTTCAACAGCATAAGCATCGAAATTGAAAGTTAAAATCGAGAAGTCTATTCCATAAAGCGTTACGTGGCTCTGTTTGTCACGTACGAGTACAACTAAATGAGGTGGGTACGTAAATAAGTTTTTCGGTACGAATAAGTTTGCAGCATCCTCTTGCCATGATAAAACGTTAATTTGCTGTACAAGTAAAGCGACATCGTACGGACGAACGCTGATGCACAAAAATATAACTCAGTACTCACTGCAGTGAGTGACAAAGAGCCTATTTTCTCGTCGACGAAAACGTGAAGTCACGGACGGACGGACAGACAGACGGATGGACATTGCGAGTACAAAATAGGGCATTTTTTTTCTAAAATGAAAAAATGCGCTAATGAGCACAAGTGTACAAGACAATCTGATGGCATTGCATTCGGAATAATCAAGGTAACTTAACTGGAGAATAATTCAATTTGAAATTAATTACCGCATGTACAGGGACGTTAACGCTTTTAGAATATTTAATGAATGAAGTTTTAGAGTTGATATAATCGATATTCATGGGATGGAACATGAATTAATCAAATTTAATACGGAGATAGAAGCGGTAAATAGAACCTCAATTTTCAATTGAAATATATAGACAGAAAATAGTCGTTTGAATACTTCAGTTTCTCAAAAAACGTTTTTTACTACTTGTTCCGGCGCGAGGCTATTCAGATTTCGTGCAATTAATTGTAAATTCAATGGAATTCCAACATATACCAACCACAGCTAAAAACATACTCTATAGTTCTTATTTGCTTGAAATAATATCTTTACTATTACATTTTTGTATAAATTAGAGCGACTGAAAATAAAGGCGGCGCACCAGCGTAGCCTGGGACTGAGAACGTTCCAAAACATCATCGAATGAACTAGTATGAAGTACCAACTCAATCAACGATAAACGCGTAGCCAACTTAGTGAACGCGGATATTTTATAGCAAGACGAAACGTAATGAGAGTTTAAATTTCGGCCACAACTCTTCGCAAATTAGCCTTATAAGTTAATTAAAAGCAACAGCACGATGGACGAGTCAGTGATTCATTCAAGCCTTTTTCCCAACGCGCGGCTCAGCACAAGCCTCGAGGCCCACTGCTGGAGCACTTCCGGGCCATGACTCACCGCCTCGTCCTAGTCAAGACCCACCGCCTCGTCCTAGTCAAGACCCACCGCCTCGTCCTAGCCAAGACCCACCGCCTCGTCCAAGCCAAGACCCACCGCCTCGTCCAAGCCAAGACCCACCGCCTCGTCATCGTCCTAGCCACCACCCACCGCCTCGTCTCAGCCATGACCCACCGCCTCGTCTCAGCCATGACCCACCGCCTCGTCTCAGCCATGACCCACCGCCTCGTCTCAGCCAAGACCCACCGCTTCGTCCTAGCCACCACCCACCGCCTCGTCTCAACCATGACCCACCGCCTTGTCTCAGCCATGACCCACCGCCTCGTCTCAGCCATGACCCACCGCCTCGTCTCAGCCATGACCCACCGCCTCGTCCTAGCGAAGACTCACAGCTGGGTCTAGACCCACCGCCTCGTAGGGGATGCGGTGCTTGACGACGCCGATGTCGAGGGAGATGTCGTTGCGGGCGCTGACGAAGTCCCTGTAGGAGGTGTGGTGGAGGGGGTCGACGTGGCGCGTGTAGGCGAGCGCCAGGTCCTGCTTAGGCAGCTGCAGCATCAGCTGTCGCTCCCTGTACTTCTCGCCCGGGGTGCTGATACGCGGCACCTTGTGGCCCGGCAGCATGCTCATGTAGTCGTAGATCTGTAGGGTGCAGAAGTTAATGACAGGCTAGGTGCTGACACTTTAACGACAAGTTTTTAACATGCCAGTGGCCTGCAAGGTGCCGACACAGGCTATTTATTATCTTTAAATTGCATGTTCTTCGAATACGTGAGGAATTTACTTGGCCCGCAGAATGCGATTTATCGACAAGTTTGAGCTGGAAATAATCTAATATCTGAAACCATGTAACTGGAAATGTGGAAATTTATATACAAAGCTGTGAGTAGCCAATTAACGTGATTTAAACACTACAGGCTGCATGTCCGTACTATGATCCGCCTTTAGGACAATGGACAATGTTTCCAACATTTCCTCCGACTTGACATATTTGAATTTTGGTCAGAACCCTCTACTGTCGATTTTTCGAATTGCTGGGTTGTTATCATCGTGATTTGATGAATGCTAAATTCAGCAGAAATTCAACTTAGGAAAAGGACGCCGCGAAACAAGGAGCCCAGCCATGCGAGTTACAAGCATACTTGAAATTCTAAAATATCTTCACTTATGAAGAAATTCTCGCGCAAAGGAAACAACTCAAATATACCATAAAAGTTTCATTATCAGAATAATTTAAAATAAAATTACTGATAACTATTTGAAAATCAACTTTCAATATGCTATTAATTAATAAGATATAAGAAAATGTTGATGTGCTTGTTCCTGTACCTAATATACCAACTGTGTTGAATATAAATAAAAATGGATCCTAAATGGATCCTTAAATTATCCTAAGATAATTTAATATCAATAACCTATTATTAAATTTGTGATCTCAACGGTCAGAGAACTGTTTCGGAACCTTTCCATTTCGAACTAACAAAAATAAACTATGATCTCAACTAAAATCGAGAAAAATGTAAATTTTACACCTGCTGTAAAAACTTCAGGTAGGTTAGCTTTGTCGTTTTCTAATTATGGGTAATTAAACGATGACCGCTAAATATATTCAAATATCTTCAACAAAGTCGAACACTGTTGTGATTTTACACTTTTATATTATTTCTTATTATTATATTGATTTCTTATAATTATGGTATTTTTTATAATATTATAATTTTGGTAAAACAGGCATGGGGACTGTTATAATATCAAGTGAGTGAATTTATTAATTATAAAATAAGGTAATTAATCAATAATTCCCGGCAATGGAATTGGATTTCCCTCAAACTCGAGAAATATATTAATTCTACATCTGCACTGTAGCTCTAACAATTTCAATTATGTGGGTTTGATCGTTACTTAATTAGGCAGATAACAAATAACCTTCGCAAATTAAATTGGATCTAAACCAAAGTCAAGAAATATGTTATTTATGCGCCTGTGCAATGGCTACAACAATTTTAGGTATGTAGGTTAAGTCGTTTTTAATTAGTTAACTAACTTTCCAGTGCCGCTAGTGAACTTGGAGATTTTTGCCAGCCTTAGACTATAACAAAAGATATTAACCAAACCAAACTGATCTTCACGAGGCACAGACTAGAAATAACCAAAACAAACTTACGAATATCAGAAACTTTTTGATAAATTGATAAAATTTACTTATTGATAAAACTTATTGAAACTTACTTATTGAAACTTACTTATTGATAAAACTTATTGAAACTTACTTATTGAAACTTACTTATTGAAACTTACTTATTGATAAAACTTATTGAAATTTATTGATAAAAGTTATTGATATAAGTTGTGCCTCGCACGCGCCTCACCTGCTCGCTGGTGAGGCCAGGAGGCACCCACGAGTAGCCCTCCTGCAGGCAGCGCTCGCGGTTACTGNCGGTGCCACAACTCAGTTCAATCAACTGAACTATTGCTGTCACAGAGCCACAACTCAGTTCAATCAACTGAACTATTGCTGTCACGGTGCCACAACTCAGTTTAGTCAACTGAACTATTGCTGCCACGGTGCCACAACTCAGTTCAATCAACTGAGCTATTGCTGCCACGGTGCCACAACTCAGTTCAGTCAACTGAACTATTGCTGCCACTGCGACACGCGAATCACTTCAGTCAACTAATTAGACTGTAAATTTGTGCATGGAAATTACAATGAGAAGTTAATTGAATACCTTCTCAACATATTACCAACTTAATTTATTGCACATATCACATGGACAAGGTAGAAGTAATTACCGCGTTTAGGACGCAGTCCGGGAAGAACATCCCCAAGCTATACACAAATCCCTTTTAAAATAATGAATTTATTGATAAGAAATAAATAACTTTCACAGTATGAAAAAGGTAATTAGAATATTTCTGCACATTAAATATGGCAGCTCATAGCATAAGCAAGTAATGGCATCTCAGGCATGTCTCAATCGCTTTTAAAATAACTAATTTACTGACAAGAAATGAATAATGTTCACAGTATGAAAAAGGTAATTTGAATATTTTTGCACAATAAATATGGCAGCCGGTGGCATAAGTAAGTAAGGGTCTTTACCTGTCACACATTGTTGACGCTCCGACTATGAACGCGTTCAAGAACAGGCTAGACAAGGCCATGCATGAGCATATGTTTAGTCTTAAAATGCCTCGTACCCTACGGAACAACTGATATCTAGAAGCTATTTTAAATCTACCGTCCGTTGAAAAGATTTTATCAATAGGCCAGTCTAGCCAAGAAAAGCACAAGAATCGGCGACAGGCCTATCCAGGCCTACTCTTTAATGCCGAAGATACTATACTATACTATACTATACTATACCTGGCATTGTCGGCGAGTCCGAGCCTCTCTTTGACGCTGACCCAGTCTTCGTGGTACACGTCGTGCAGCTCCCGCGTGCACTTGCAGCTCTGACATGTCTTCCTGCAATAACAAATACAATCACAAAACTAATATTCATCGACTCAATTAGAGATATTTTTAGTAAGTAAAATGACGCACAAGTACACTCAGAAAATTAATATTGATCGATGTATTTGGAAAAATTTTTGACAAAATGACAGATTCACCGACAAACCAAAAGTTTCATGACTGGAAAATCTGGTCTTGTAACCAACCAGACAACCTTGTGTTGCCGAGTATAAGAAGGATAAGTACGAGCACATAACATTAAACATAATTAAGAAAGTTACGACGTAGAAAGGAAAATAAGCCACTAGCTGCCATATCTGGTATAATTAAGTATCGCTTTAACGAACGCATACCATTATAAACTGTATAACATTTAATTTGATACATTGATCTCAAAGAGTTTGTATTATTTCCTTCTTCATCATATTTCTTTCTTCAATATTATTATTTCTTTCTTTCTCTTGCAGGCATTTGTTGCTAGTGCGCCAGATAAGAAGGATATTAGTCATATTACACACTCGGACATCGCACACTTGCGGTGCGCCAGCGCTCTAATTTTGGAGAAAAAAAATTTAACTTCCAAATTAGCCATTCTAAATCTCTTTAAAAATTATGATTCATTGCTAATCTATCCCACTAATAATTTATAATAACTTTCGCGCTATTAAATTTGTCTCGTCCGACATCAGAAGTTTATCTTCAGTGGTTTCCGCAGCTGCAACTTTGTTCCTGTTCGGAGAAGTTTACATCGCCGCGATGCTCCTGAGGTCAACAGAAGTGGATGAGCTGCAGCTGTTTACGGCTGCGGCATATAGCTGCCGTGACGCCGTGAATGAGGTGACAGAGCAGTCAAGTCAAATGAAGACATGGCAGTCAAGTCAACGGAATATATGGCAGTCAAGTAGTAGACAAACAAATTGGCGACATGGCAGCCAAGTGGGCAAAAAATTCTGGCAATTCATATGAAAAAATTGCTGGAGTTAAAATGCCATCAAATATGATTGAGTACAGAGTAACCGTGGAGACAAATACAATAAATATTGCATGAATGAGGAAATTCGGTAAAAAAATATCGAAATAATCTTCCGGTAAACATCTGCGGAAGTCGAGGTATGTTGGCTCTCTGATATCGTCCTCGTACGTACATCCTCGGTCAATTAAATGAGACGTAAAACTGGAAACTTTATTTCGGGATGTCTTCGCTCAACTTTAGCTTAATAATCCGCAATTTCATCCCATAAAACATGTAATTTTTATGTGGGACAAGTGAAAGTAGACCCAAAAATTTACTTGATAAATGAATATGCCCTGAAATAATTCGAGCATACTATATATTTCCTTGCTTTGCGCGCTTTTTACGGCAAGTTTCTTTGCTATTATACCGAGATAGAACGCCTACGAAACGATTTTGAATAAAATCTTGAGCACGGTTAAAAAGGGAATTATTTCGGAATGGACTTACGACTTTCATGACGTGGGACCAAGTCAACCATAACTCAGAATTGGAATTATGTTTATGCATACTCACTCGTGCTGCGTACCATATGGAGACTCGACTCGCGGACGCTCTTTTTCATAGAAGGTTTTCCCGTGAGTAGCTTTTGCCCCAGCAGGAGGAAGGGCATGGGGCTGTGGGAGGGGTTGGGAGACGCTGTAGGCGTCAGGCTCAGGCTGGGGACAAGATTGGCTCTCCTGCAGAGGAGGAAGTTTCTTCGGGATTTTTCCACGAGTCTTGGTGTGCCTCGATAGTTCCTTTTGTCTGGCGGTGTAGTCGTCTATTAAAAGAGGTTCCGGTGGCAGATTATTCGTGCTACAGTCGCTCTCCGGCGCGCTAGTTTTGCTCATTTTGAGTGTGAGAGACTTGGTTCGATGCGGCTTAATGGATTTGTTGAGTTGTGTTTCACTCTTCATGAAACGCCTGGTCGATTTCGCAGGTGACGCCGCTCGCGCCGCGCAAGTTTCGCGATCGTCGGCGTCAGAAGATTTATTCGGCGAATCCGTTGAGGTGGGCGACCCTCGTCTGGGCATCCTGGGCGAATAAGACGACACGAAGGACGACAGCGGCGACAGGGTGGCTGCAAGCGACGCTGCAAATCCTGAAGGAGGCGCAGAGAGTCTGTCCAGTAATGCATCATCGTCTGTCGCGGCGCTGTGATGTGACGCGGTCTCTTGTACATCATCTCTGCTGCTCCGTTGTCTTCTGCGTTCACTGTTCTTTCGTCGCAAGTTTTTCACTCTATCAGGCTCACTATCTTTGTTGTCGTGGAGGCTCTCCGACCGACGCAGAAAGGAAAAATTCTTGTCGCGGTTGAGGCTCACCTGAGAGCGCAGAGGGCACATATTGAGCGATCACCCTTTCTCCTGCCCGGCCTTGTTCTCCTCTGCGTTCTCTTGCTCCTGTTTTCATTTCTAACAACACAGCTTGATCCTCTAATTTATTGAAGCGAAAAATAGTTAAGTCAACAATGTAGATTTAATTAGTCATTAGACTAAACACGGTAAGAATGACCAACGCAACAACCGAGTCAGCACCAGCGATCATGCATGACAGCGCCCCCGAGAAGTAAAAGTTTCATTGTATTGTCTGAGGCACCAGCGTCTTTATATCGCAGGAATCATCTTCGTTCAAAAATGTTTATAACTCGAACATGAAGAAGACACTATATCCCTCGCTGCAATATGGTGTCGTCAATATTATAGGAAATTCATCACGTAAAGATACACCGGCTAAAGTTCGGAGATGAACAACGAGCATATTTTATGGTTCGTTAAGTTGGGATTATCTTGATTAATGATTCCTGTTTGTATGGTGAAGAGATAAACCAAAATATACATAATTTTTTGGCATGCAGACACGATTTTAAAAATTCATATGTAAAACAAAGACGGTTCGCTGAACACTCGTTCATCATTTTCGAGGAAAAACTGAACGAACTTATGAACAAGCTTCTTTTCAGCGATCAGCTTTAATTCATTATGAACAACTTAATTTTAGATCTAAATTATGTTTTTTCATGAATTGCATACCGGTATCATCATGTTGAATACAAGCCCATGATTGTTCATTCATTTATCAATACACAAAATTCATTTGGATGGAGAGGGGTGGTTGTTTGACATACTCCCTGAATCAGTCCAAGTTATTCCTAAATTGCGTTTTCATTGTTAAGAATCTCATCTCCACCAGAACTAGATAATGTAGGGGAAAACATTCGTTTTGTTATGTTACGCCTCATGATCGGGAATATCGACCTCTATCGGCGACAGGCCTATCCAGGCCTATTCTTTAATGCCGAAGATACTATACTAGATACTATACTAACATTTGTTCGCCATAATATGACTCTATACTTCCATGCTAATCCCTACATCACATAACCCTGTTCTTCCATGCATATTCCTTCTTAACATAACCCTGTTCCTATTGTGTTAAAGAAGAATGCCAATTCTCCAATAACATAACCCTGTTCCTCCATGCCAATTCCTCCATAACCCAACCTTGTTCCTGCATGCTAATACCTACATAACATAACCCCCATTCGTCTATGCCAATTCCTCCATAACATAACCCTGTTCCTCCATGCCAATTCCTCCATAACGTAACCCCATACCTCCATGCCTATTCCTCCTTAACCTAACCCTGTTCCTCCATGCCAATTCCTCCATTACCTAACCCTGTTCCTCCATAACATTATCCACTCCAAGCAAAGGCTGAGCTCAGACAATTCGTTGCCACTTCTTAGGCGGCTTGCAGGGCACACGTTTGGAGGAGACCAGATGCAGAGGCATGACGCTTTTGGCTACCACACGCAGCGTAGAGAACTAAAATGTTATCAAACATCGCTCTAAGCGGTCGCCCTAAGCGGTCCAAAAACAAGAATATTATTAGCAAAAAAAAAGGGCTTATATTATAAGCAAAACTAGGTGCTGCTCGGACCTTTCAACAACAGCAGTTGTGCTGCATTCACGGCCAGCTATAATGTCTCATTGAATGTCTGCTTGTCGCGTCTGTGTGTGTTTTGTAGACTGAAATGAATTAGTTCAGTTGATTTGATGAACGCACACTTTTGTAGTGATTTTAACAAGCGAGAATGTCGTTAATGCACCGAACAAATTTTACTCAAATAGTTCATAGGCATATAGTTGTTCGCTCGACGCCAACTCGTGAGTGTAGGGCAACAATCAAGATAATTAAACCTCGTACAACCACTAACGTAGGAGAAGTGTTCCACTGTAACACTCCTACCTCAGTTATGAAGTATTAAATCAATGAATAAACCCATTTTCAATTCACAACAATAAGAGGCATGTCAACCTGCGCACATTTACAGAAATTTATCACTAATAAAATTAATCAAGTTCCCACACAATAAAAATGTGTTAGTCCCTTCAGCTGGTGCACATTAAACAACAATTGCCACAAATATAACAGTGAATTTCATGACGATTAACGGAAGTATAGCTCACAGATGCTCGCACAGAGCAGAGAGATCACACACTTGTACACTCAGCTATGTGGGACCTCACAGCTGCTACTGCTGCAGCTGCTCCACATGATATACAGCTGCCAAGATGTGCTGCTTGCTTGCACAACACCAACACTCGCTGCTCACGGTAGAGCACCACAACAGCAACACATCCAACACTCGCTGCTCACGGTAGAGCACCACAACAGCAACACCTCCAACACTCGCTGCTCACGGTAGAGCACCACAACAGCAACACCTCCAACACTCGCTGCTCACGGTAGAGCACCACAACAGCAACACCTCCAACACTCGCTGCTCACGGTAGAGGC